AAAGCAGTTTTGCTTAGATGAGATATGAACTCCTAAATCATTTGATTGCTTGTACAGCGCAAGTTGGCATGACTCCTGAGGAAGTGGTATCAAAAATAATGGCAAACCCAGATGTAGCTGTTGCATTCCAGAATCCAAAAATACAGACAGCCATCATGGACGTAAGACCCTGCAGAAACTCATCTATTATACTGCTTTGTCATTTGAGTCTTCTGACATGGTGCCAGCTTGATGCAGTGCTCGCAGAACCCTCTTAACATTGTAAAATACCAAAACGACAAGGAGGTATTTCTATTTGTAGACCCCTCTTGCTCTCAGTCAGTTTATGAACATAGACGGGACTGGGAGTGCCACCCTGTTTAGCTTTCTAACACGATTGTCTCTGCTTTTAGGTCATGGACGTTTTCATGAAGATATCACAAATCTTCCCCCAAATTAACGGCTAGCTGATCTTCGTCGCGGGATTGCAGTTCTGATTTTTGTCGGCACATCCATCTCCTGTCTGGAGGACTGCTGCGGTTTCCATGTGTCAAGAAAGGGAACACCTGCTGTGGGTCATGACGCTCCAGATATATCCTCTCTGTGTCAAGGTCCTTTGAGTTGCCTATGTACATCGTGTGATGTAGCGGCCTTTGGTTTAGCCATGAGTATGACCCCCCTACTTCATAAAGTCAGGCTAGTGAGCGTAGCAGGGTCAAAGGTTTTTATTTACATTGCATCGGCAGCCAGTCTGACTGTCTGCGCTTTGACGTTGCATGGTTTATCGCGTAGGATGTGTAAGGTGCAGCAGAGGTGATTCGTATGAGATCAATTTTGATATAATAATTGCTATAAAAAGGGCAGACCGAGTGCTAGAGGCTTCCACATGAGTGGGGTCTGAGGAAGGAAAAAACCGAGGCAAGCCTTTCTCCGTAAATCTGCTGAGAGGCTGCTTCGAATTTACGACCTGTTGACTCTGTGAGACAGTCTGACCACTGCACCAGGCCTGCCCCCTTCTTGATATATAATTGCTATCAATGTGTAAAATATCAGAGACACAATGGCAATGGCAATGCAAGTAATCTGTTTCGGCATTTCCTGACCATCTCATCGGGTGGCAGGGCAATGTGATTCGTCAACATGAGCGCTGCGCTGGGGAGCAACATTTTTCAGACCCCGCCCCCCGGACAGGCGACCGGTATGATATGCTGACCGACCAGGACCTCGCTCACCGCCAAGTCCAGTATTCCAGTTCCACCACGTCCACGCGGTTGCGGTTACCACCTCGCTCAGACGCTGCCAACAACATCTGTCCGCTTGGACTGGTTTAGCTTATAAGTCGTACTTTTTTAGTTAACGAATAATATTTTTCTCTCACACTAAATCAATCAATAGTACTTTCAGCTATGATTTATAAAAAAACCCTAAACAAACGGGGCGGAACTCGCTACCACCACATGGCCCCACGACCCCACCCCACCCGTGCGTACGTGCAAAGAGAGCACGCGCCGGGGTCGCCAACCTGTTCCCCGGCGCGGATGCGTCAGCGCGGTGCACATCCACGACCGTGGTCACGCGCTGATACGTCGGCGTCAGACAGAGAGAAGCCGCGTGCGCTGCTGATCCTGTCCAGATTCCAGAGTCGGAATCCAACGCAGCGAGCGGTTGAGGATTCCGATCGACGTTTTTGACCCGGCCTAGCCCCAGGCGCACACGACGCCGTCGAGGCAGCACTGCAGCACATCAGCGCGCTTCGCTTCTCGGAGGAAAACGAAACCCGCGTCGCCGAGTAGCATGACTGCATGAGGAGGTGAAGGATGGATCCCGCGGCGGCCTATTCCATGGGATCGGAGGTCCAAGTGGACCATGTCTAACACGAACACCACCTGTTGGAGCCCGCGCAGGGCGACGGTCGCGCTAGTTGCGGGGTTAACCTCCAAGCCAGGCTATCGAGCTCGGCAGGCCCTGTTCGCTTCGCTGAAGAGAAAAATACTGTTCTCGTTGAAAAAATAAGATGAAAAATACGAATTATAAGCAAGCCAACATGTCCGGTGTGGTGTCACTGTGCCAGTGCTCGGGTTCCTGCCCTCCAAGTCAGCAGGCGTCAACGTTCAACGATACGACAGGCATTGCTGATCGATCCGTTCTGCTGCCACTCATGACTCATCCGTCCAGTCTTGCAGTAGTAGCAGTTATTATTTTTGCTCTCAGGAAAAACAGATGCGGTTAGGCTGTGGATGAAATCTACCGCAAGAACGTCATCGACCCATCTGGAAAAACTGCAAATACAGCTGTAATACAGCTCTGACGACAGTGGTCAAAGGTAGAATCGTCGACAACGCTGCTGTCTTCGTTCTGCTGCCACTCATGACTCATCCGTCCAGTCTTGCAGTAGTAGCAGTAATTATTTTTGCTCTCAGGAAAAACAGATGCGGTTACGCTGTGGATGAAATCTACCGCAAGAACGTCATCGACCCATCTGCAAAAACTGCAAATACAGCTGTAATACAGCTCTGACGACAGTGGTCAAAGGTAGAATCGTCGACAACGTTGCTGTCTTCTTGCAACTACTACTCCGTAGTCCGTACATCCTGTTCAACAGTGCGGCAGGTGACGGAAGACTTCTTGTTAGTTCGGCCATTCAACGTTTTGCTAGGGCCTTGTTTACATCACCTTTAAATTCCAAGTTTTTTCACTCTCTCTCCATCACATCAATTTTTGGACGCATGCATGGAACATTAAATGTAGGTAAAAAAAATAACTAATTATACAGTTTGGTTGTAAATTACGAGACGAATCTTTTAAGCCTAGTTAGTCCATGATCGTCAAATACAAACGAAACGTGCTACAGTGTTTAGGTTGCAAAAATTTACAATCTAAACAAGCCTAGGAGGAACTACGGAGACGAATGGTAGTGGCAATATAACCTTAAAAGGTCATCCATTTTAACGAGCAAACAGTTATTCTTTTTTTCTTTTTTTTGAAAGACAAAATTAACCATGCTATGAAATAACAGTGTCAAATTTTGCTGCTTGCGTGGAAAACAATAGTGTACTCCCTCCGTCCATAAAAGAATGCAATTCTCACTTTTTGAGAAGTCAAATAGCTTAAACTTGAACTAAATTTATATAAAAAAGTACTGACATTAATGATACACGTTAAATTAGTTATCAAATATATTTTCATAATAAATTTGTTTGGAGACATAAATCTTATTACGATTTAATATAAACTTGCTCAAGTTTGAGTTAGTTTGACTATCACGGATCCTACCATTGCAAGATGTATAAAATAAAAACAAGGGTTCTCTACCCAACAACAAAGTATTCTTTTGGCCTCCTAGCGCCCAAAATTATGAGCATGCATGCTACTCCATTCTGGGAAGACTTCGAGAATCCTTCTAGTTGCTTGATACTTGAATCAAAGTGTTGAAAAAACTCGGGCATTTCAAGAAAAAACGGAGGAAGTAAGTAGTAAGGATGAAGATGAAAACAAAGTTGACTTTTGTTTTTATTTCTAGCTACAATCATTTATAACAGGTCTATAGTTAAGTTATTTTAGAAGTACAATGATTTTTTGGTATATTTTCTAACTAGATATGATATAACTTTAAAAGAAATCTACTGTAGAACCATCAGATTTTAAATTATAAGAACTTTTGTCTTTTTTAGATACATTATTGCTTTTACTACGTATTTAGACATAGTATATATATATCTAATTACATAGCAAAAGCTACGTATCTAAAAAAAAACTAAAATATCTTATAATTCGGAACGAAGGGAGTATATTACTTAATATGGAGATAGGAGAACCAAAAACAAAGATGTAGTATTAGAAGCCAATACAACACCCAAGGTGTCTTATAGGAAACCTTAAAATAACAGTACCTTACTTGTTTTGTGTTTTGTCACAGCCATCGGTTCTTCTCGGAATATGTGCCATTTAAGAACAGCTATAGAAGAAAGAGGTTAAATCAACGAGGTCTTCTCTCGCTGAGTCGTTTCTCCAAGAACCTTCTAGCTTCAAACTATTTTATCACAACATTTGGTTCTATATACAGAAACAATGCATACACGTTTGCTTTTGTTACCCGTACGTCAAGAACTACCAACTCTTCCTCTCTCTCTCTCTCTAAAAAAAAAGAAAAAAGAAAAGAAAGAACTACCAACTCTTGCCGCCGTACTATGATAGTACTACTACTACTACTAGCGATTTCTTAGTTACTTTGAGACGGCCGGGATTCTGGTAATGATTATCGGCTAGATGTATATAAGAAAGGAAAAAATCTATTTTTTGGCCCTTTAATTATGGTTGTAGTTTGCTTCTAGCTCTCTAACTTTAAAACCAGACACGCGCAGTTCCTTAACTCTCAAAACCGTTCAAAATTGATCATCGCGCCCATTCGACTGCGGTTTTCGCACAGTAAATCCGCCACGACCCCGCCTATCAGGCATTTCCCTCTCACCGCTAGGTTGGGACCACCTGTCATCCCCCTCCCTCTCTTCGCGGGCCCCGCCGGTCAGGCCTTTCCCCAACCTCCCCGCCACACGTCGTTGACACCACGGCGGCTAGCACAGGCAGCGCTAGCCATGGCGGCTGCTGCTGCTACTCGCGCCATGGTCGCTGCTCCCTATCGCGCGCCATGGCTTTCATTGCTCGCCCCACGCAGCCAGCGTCCCTTCGCGCCGCTGCTGCCAAGCCGCGCGATGCCATGCTTCGCTTGCTTTCGCTGCGTCGGCGCCGACACCCTTCGCCACTCGCTGCTGCGCCGCCATGGGTGCCACGCTTTCGTTGCTTTCGCCTGCGTCTTTGTCTGCTGCTGCCTTCGCCTCTGCGTGCTCACCTCCCGCGGCGGCGCGTCGTCCGTCTCCGCCGCGCTGTTTCGCGTTATTGCTCGCCGCCGCCGATGACAAGGCCGCCTCCGCTACAGCCAAGCTATGCAAGTGCGCGTGCGGCCGCCGCCTCTGCAACTCCCGTCGCCATGGTCGCGTCCTTGGCTGCTCCTATCGCCGCTCACCATGCAGAGCGCAGTTGCGAGGTCTAAGCCCCTGCCCGTCGTCGCACGCGTCAGCCAGGACCACTCCACCGGCCTCTACCTCATCAGCGTCAGGAACTACGATCCAAACCCGCTCGTCCTCGACCTCGCCGGCCCGCTCCTGTGGTGGCCGTGCATGGGGCAAGAAGAGAAAGAACAGGCCATCCCCTGCAGCTCTGGCACGTGCCGCGTCGCCAACAGGAACCACCCGCCCAACTGCCCCTACGTCGACGGCGGCAGGCCGAGGTCCCCGGAGCCCAGCTGCAACTGCACAGCCTACCCCTACAACCCCGTCAACGGCAAGTGCGGCAGCGGCGGGCTCACCTGGGAGTGGCTGTCGGCGAACGCCACGGACGGGCGGCGCCCACTGTACCCGGTGTCGTTCCGCGCCGTGGCGTCGTGCGCGCCAGATGAGCTCCCCTCCTCATCGTTCCCCAACCTCTTCCAGGCGCAGGGGCGTGCAGCCCGGGGGAAAACCTGTACTCCGGCGTGGCGGGACTGTCGCGGTCGCCGCTCTCGCTGCCGTCGCAGGTCGCGGCGGGGCTCAAGGTGTCCAACAAGTTCGCGCTCTGCCTCCCGCACGTGGCCATCTTCGGCGGCGGGCCCGTCCACATCCCGGGCTCGGACGACGACGTCGAGACGGTGACCGACCACCTGAGCCGCACCCGCCTCCTCCGGAACCCGAGGAACAACGCCTACTACATGGACGACGCGGGCATTGCCGTGAACGGCGCGCGTGTGGCCTTGCCGGACGGCGCCCTCGCCCTCTCCAGCCAGGGCTAGGGCGGCGTCGCGCTGAGCACGGTGACGCCCTACACGGCGCTGCGCCCGGACATCTACCGCGCGGTGCTCACGGCATTCGACGCGGCCACGGCCGGCCTCCCGCGCGTTTCTCAGGCGCCCAAGCCGCTGGAGCGCTGCTTCAACCTGACCATGATGAACCAGATGGGGATGTGGACCGGCTCCCTGCCCGTGGCCGTCGACCTAATGCTGGCCGACGGGAAGAACTCGACGTTCACCAGCCTGAGCGCGATGCATGAGGTTGTCCCACAGACGCTGTGCTTCGCCTTCGTGGAGATGGGGGCAGGGACCGTGGCGGCGTACGCGGTGCCGGACTCTCCGGCGGTGGTCGTCGGATGCCACCACATGGAGAACAACCTGCTGGAGTTCGACCTCAAGATGGGGGTGCTGCGCGGGGTCCGTGGCCGAGAGGGAGGTTGGGAAAGGCCTGACCGGCAGGGCCCGCGAAGAGAGGGAGGGGGATGACAGGTGGTCCCAACCTGGCGGTGAGAGGGAAAGGCCTGACAGACGGGGTCGTGTGGCGGATTTACTGTGCGGAAACCGCAGTCGAATGGGCACGAGGGCCAATTTTAAACGGTTTTGAGAGTTAAGGGACTGCGCGTGTCTGGTTTTGGAGTTAGAGGACAGAAACAAACTACAACCATAGTTGAAGGGCCAAAAATGGACTTTTTCTTATAAGAAAAGGTGCACTGGAAGTTTGATTGCTGACTGCTTTGTCGCATTGACAAGTCGCTGCCAAAAATTATTCCAAAAAAAAAGTTCAAACTTCCAAATTCAATAGCGGCTACTTGTGGTGAACCCCAAACACGTACGGCGAATTTTATAGTCTGTTCGGTTGGTATTAAAGTTGGCTCAAACTGATTTATTGTGAGAGAAAAAGGCTGCAGATTCTAACTGATAAGCCGGCTGATAAGTTCAAGCGAACAAGTTTGACGAATATGTTAAGCCACACAAGGTCCAGCGGTGAGATGGATGTCTTAACAATAATTCAACTTCTAGTTAAAGACACGAGATAGTAGTGTTCATAGGAAACTCACAACGAAAATGCAAGAAACATGCATGACGCTATATTTTGAGACAAAGTCACAAAGACGAGAGCATACCTATTTGTCCATCCATTTCCTGACGCGTACTAATTAAGATTCTGAACTTCGAGACCTGATGGGGGGGGAGGATGTAAAAATCAGAGAAAGTATCTGGAACTTTGTAAAGTTCGATCATTAGGGTGATATAAAGGGCATAGACTTTGTCTAAATATTCGAACAGTGCAATTATGAGTCAGATACCTCTCAAGTTTGAACATGATCCACATCACACATTTTCAGCCGGATAACTTTTCGTGAAAGTGCGACTATGCCACTTTGCTACCGTTCTTAGGAATCTTCTCGTAAAAACAATGACCAGGTAAAACAGGCCGCAGGCGAAAAGTGCCGCTCCATTTGCGACCCCCGTTCACATATGTAGAAAAATATAAATCAGCAGCCATGGCGTAAACTGGAAATTAAACACCATGGAAAAGTTGTCTATGCAGTACCTGGTCCTGGTGTTCAGAGTATTACACACTGATGACTGTGCGTACTCACACCAGCACATAAATGAAATGCTGAACAAACAAATGCCAGTACAATAATGTCTGAATCTCAGTCGGTATGGCCGTACGTCTGGACCATCCAAGTTGAACTCCTCCCATCGTCGAAGTTAATTTGGGTACCCATTTCTTCTTAATACGAATGCAAAAGCAGTCTAGCTAGTTCCTCATAGATTGGTTTAGTTTTTTCTTCTTATGTATGTTTCAGTCTCTCTCTCCCTTCACTGACTCTTCATGTCAACATATAAACGACACTATTCGGCTAGGCGAACAGGTGAAAGCAGGATGTAGACAACTCAACGGCAAATGATGGAGAGAAAAGAAGAAGAAGGTTGTTGTGAACTAGTACAAGTGGGAAGACGAAGATGGAATACGATTGACAATTTGACATGCTAACCCCCTGTGTCATGCATGCCAATTGGCGATTTGCAGGTTAGGTCAAGTAGCTTCTTCTTCTTGGATGCCACCACATCCACATGAAAGTGTCTCCGCTGGTGAGTGTGAGTGACCACCAGCGACCAGTAAACCAAGAACGCTTCGGTCTGACCAGCAGCATGTACTAGTATACTTTCACCACCCGCAGGCCGTCACCGACAACTCATCAGATTTTTCGACGGATTTTGATCGGAACGAGTGGCTGGTGCGTTCTCCGTTCTGCGCGCCTGCGGCGTGTGGAATCGAGAGGACACAGTGCGTAGGGCGACCGGCGTCGTTCGCTTCGCTGAAAAAACGAGTCAAAATACTGAGAGAAAAATACTGTTTCAGCTACAAAAATAAGCTAAAAAAGACGAATTATAAGAGAAGCAAACATGAAGCTTGTCTGATGTGCCGCAACGTTTTCAATCTCAGATCTTCCCCATTTGGACGGACACGGACCTGAAGCAAGCTGAAAACAGCCCCGGAACGTTTTCAATCTCAGATCTTCCCCATTTGGACGGACACGGACCTCAAGCAAGCTGAAAACAGCTCCGGACTGACCAGTGATCATGTTCCGGCCGGTTCTTTGGTCAGGACTCTCAGGGTCTTCGAAACGCCTGTGGCTTTTCCGGTCTCCGGCTCGAGTAGTGAACACAACACACCAAAACTGTCCCCTGTCAGTCTTTGTTTGGTACGGCGAATGATGTGTGTTCTTGGACGAGAATAGCACACATGGAAGTCTCCATTGGGACACTCCGCTGTCCGGACACACTGCTAATTCAGCTAGCAATTAGTGATAATCTAGCTTATTTTTATTCTTAGCTGTTTCAGTTTCAGCAGTCTGCGCAAGCACATGCTGTTGACACCTCGAGGACATGATGAGGATCGATCTGGCTCACAACTCACTATTCACAACCAAATACTCCCTCTCTCCCTAAATAAATCAATTCTTAGAATCCGTACCAGACTAACTTTATAGAAAAAATTAATAACATCTATGTCATAAAATGAGCACCTTATAAAAATATATTCTATAGTAAATCTAATTATACCAATTTAATGCCATGAATAATCTTAACGTTTTTTTTTCTAGAAATTCGGTTAAAGTTCAAAAAATTTGACTTAAGACAACTGTAGGAATCTATTTATTCAGAGACAGAGGAACTAATATTTAATCAATTTATAGTTAGTTATAAAAAAATCAATTTAGTCTTTTCAAGAAGTTGTTTCTAGATATGGAAAAACACCCCCTTTTTACTTTGGACAACCTTTTATTTCTTCGCATGCTCTCATATTCTTTGAAAACAAGTTCTCCAGCTTTTGCTTTGATTTCCTCAAATGAGACTAGCACAATTGATTGATATCGTCTCCTCACACTTAACAGGAAAGGGAAGAAATACGATGCCGCCACGTGAAACAAATGTGTACCCTTACATTATATATTACACACGTTACCCAGAGGAGAGGGAGCTCTTGTCTTCCTCTCCCTCTCCCTTCGGATAATTCGCAGTCAGAGGAACGGAAGCCGTGCAAGATCATATGCTTATGCATGCAAGACGACACATATACATGCAGCGAAGAAGTTCTATTCTCGGAGCAGCACTTGAGGTTAAATGGCACTAATTAATCTGAATAACTAATTGTGGATATTAGGTCAAAATGATAACAAAACGCTTTTTTTAAACAAAATGATAACAAGCTAGTATTAGCAGCCACCTATAAATAATTAAATCGATCTCTGTCTCATTGAGATGCAAGTTATTGGTCCTTTGTTAAATATGAGTTAAATAATCAAATCAGCACATAATACAATGGCATGAAAATATTAATGTCTCTAGCACAAGGGCAATGTAGCACCCGGTTTTAAGAACAAAACCAGATACACACTAGATGTGAGCTCAGTAAATCAAATCTCACATATAGGTACAAATAAGGGTAATATTAATAGACAATACTCAATATATAATGTACTTAGTATAAAGAATATAACCTTAGATAGCAAACAGACGAAAGACAACTCCGAACTTTGAGTGAAGACTTCAATTCCACAGGGACAACTGACTGGTTGATCACAAGCCTAATTCCTCCAAACTCTAGCAATCTGATACCCATCCAGGATTTTTCAAAGATTTAAAAAGTAAAGCAAGTGTAAGTACATGTCGTACTCAACAAATATATCATGGGGTTCACGAGGCTCAAAAGGCTGACACTGGTTTAAATGCGATTATCTTTTAATGAGTCATGATTTTAGCAATTGAGTAGCAACAAGTTTATCACAAGCCCATATAAACATATGATCAGGTAAACATAAATAATGAATAGCATAAACAGTAATCATTAGTGAGCATCTTTATCATCAGTATCATCATCATTAACCATTAATGATCATCTATTCCGTAAGGGTCCAAGGCCGCTCGTGACCGTGAGCACGGCTGATATACTAGTTTTACACTCTACAGAGGTTGTACACTTTCACTGTGAGTCATGATTTATTCTTTCGTCCGAGACGACCAACCTCTTGACCCACTACTAAGAAAAGTCGGCAGGGTTCACTATGAAGCTTTTCAAAGGTTCATCTAACAAGTTAGGGCCGTTAAGTTTTCCCCATCAATAAGCATGAACCTCCTCCAAAGAGTGACTAACAAAATACCAAGAAACCAAAGTGCACCCTCTTGGTAGGCCGAGATCATACCTAACGGAGTCCCTCTTGCGCCATAAAGGTAACCATTAACAAGCTAGAAAAGATCCTCATACTGAGCTAAAGCCAAAGCCATGTAGCCCTCATAGTTGTACTGTAAGTCCCGAATGTTCGCTTATAGATAAGTCCTTAGGGAGAGGAATCTAGAGCACCATAAAAATATCCCAATGCTCTAGCCCCTTGTTCCATGTTGCTAAAAACATCTTTTAGTGTTTACTACATATACCATTAGTCAAGTTACAAGATCATAGCTTTAATTGAGCACTAGCATTATACTACCCAATACAATAACCCTTAGGAATCAAGGTATAAGATACAAAGTACTAGGAAATCCTTAGTGGTAATCAAGGTAGACACATACAACATAAATTACATGATTAAAGATGAATAGGACAACAAGAAAAATCCCATGCTATACTTGCCTTAAAATTCAGATCCTTCTTCTAGTCCAAACCTTTAAAGGATTGCTTCTGGATTCACCACGTATAGCTCACCGACTAGACATGATCATAAAGCACCACACAAGAATCCATGCAATCATACACGAAGCAAACAATAGATCTAAATTAGAGCAGTACACCAAATATAAAATCAAGATGAAAAGTTTATAAAACGAATCTACGTCTTGCTACGAACACACAGACGCGAAAAACACTCTAATCAAAGCTATAACGAAGAAGTTATGAATTAAATAAGATTTTCTTTAATAAAATAATAGATTAAATCTAACCTCAAATTTCAAAAGTTTAAAAATATATTTAA